GTTGTGATCTTTTAATGTTGTCTTGTTTTTGTATGTCCTTCCCTTTCCCTTTTTTACTTTTAAGCCGCCCTGAGTCTCTTTGAGAGTGGGCGGCATACAAATTAAATAAATAAATAAATTATTGCCTTTATGTTCATCATAGTAATCAAGTATTCTGAACAGAATTCATGAGTCTACAATGCAATTCTATCCATGTTGAATTAAAGGCTATCCTCACCAGATTTTATCCCTAAATTAATATGAAGGATCATTGCCTTAAAGAAACATTTATTGTGTTTGTGTTGTATTTTTCATGGTTGGTTTTCTGAAAGCTTTAGCTGTTCTAGAAGGGAATGAATTGTGCCTAATATATTGTGTCAATGTTTGTCTTCGTTTGAAAACATTTCATGTTTTCAAGATACAAATTCCTGGGAATTGTTTTTGTGTTTGGCAGGAAAAATAGATCAGTAGTATTCAGCTGGGATAACTTCCATTCCATTGATGGTGGAACAGTGTATGTCAGACTAATACAATTTCAGCAGACAAGGTTTAAAATGCATGCGTACATTTTTAAAATGTTGACCCTAATCATACTTCTTTTGAGATAAGCCTTCTATAATGGGAATCCTGCTGTCTCCAGTGTAATGCCTCTTTGCCTCTATCATGAACAGTATGTGAAGAACAGCTATGTCAAGTTCTTAAGTCACAAGCAATACTGATATCCGAGTAGGCTTCACTGGGCAAGACAGGAGAAAACGAGTTATTTACGATGTATTTTGATCAGAAGTTTGAAAGTGTAACAAACGCTAATAAAAATCTAGCTTGATCAAACTCTGAAAATCCTAGTTTCTTAAAAATAGCATCAGCATCTATATGAAGAACTTTGTGAAAATAATTACTGCTTGGCCATGAGGAAAACACACCACACATAGATTAATAAGCAGACACATATACAAACTAAAATGTTGATATTTATTTAAGTATAAGAACAGACAAGAAAAGGTTTGGTTACTTACTATCAATCATGTTAGCCACATGGACTCTTGCAAAGCTCTTTAGCTGTTGGTTTTTCATTCCTTACGTTTATTCTTCTAACAACCCATATTGCGGGATTTCTTCCTTTCATTGCTGCAGCTGTTGTTGCTATGCTGTCTATACTGTTGCTATGATTTGCAAGACTTCTGCATTTGCTAGATCATGGTTGTCTCTGGTGAACAGTAATACCATTCATTCCCCTTGTAGTCTCCTCTCTCCAGTTTCTAAATAGAGCAGTTTAATAATAAGGAATAGTTTCTGGGAATATTTGGCTGTAGGAGTTTACCCTTTTTATGAGGGGCAGGAATCAGGATGAGTTTGATGGCACCTTTCCAGCCAATACATTGTATTAAAAATGAAAGTTATCCTCTCAACATTTTATACCTTAAAGTGTTGGAAATTGTATTACCAGACTCCTGATTTAAGGCTACTCGACTAACGCAGTTGTTCTCCTACAATGTCTATAATAGGGGGAAATTATCCTAAATTATAGCTACTCATATGTAAAAAGAAAATATTGATTGATTTCTTAATTGATTGATAGGTACCATCAAGTTCGTGTCAGTTCTTACCCAATATGTAGATAGATTTTCTCCAGGAGCATCATTCCCCAACTTGACCCTTCAGGGTTTCCAGCAGTGTTGTAATTGAGTCAGTCTGCCTTGAGGTTGGTTATCCTTTTCTAGCATTACGAAATTCTCCAGATAATTAGGTGTTCACATCCAGAGTATGACCATTAAAGAAGAATCTACATGCTTTTGTGATAATTTGGAATGAAAATTAAAATACCTGTAAGCTAAGACCTGTTGGGCTTACCGTATTTTTCGGAGTATAAGACGCACCTTTTTATCCCCCAAAAGAGGGTGAAAATCTGGGTGCGTCTTATACTCCAGTGCATCTTATACTCTGAAAAAATACGGTAATTAATATTTTATGGGGGAACACAAGGAAAGTAAGACTGCTGAAAACAGATCCAAAAATCCCTGAAAAAGGCAATGGCAAGCAACACTGTTTTCAAGAAAATTGCACAAATTATGTCTATGCAATCAGACTTAACTTAGCTGGATATGGACAAAGTAAGTCAGCAGCACTCTTATCTACAATGCGCCATATTGCTGCTTGTCAGACCTTCAAAGTAAACCAGGCTAGGAAACCAAATTATGAATGCTAATATCAGTTTTATTGTAAAGTTTCAATAAGAGAAATCTGAAAATCTAAAGATGCTTTCTCCTTTCCCTTTATTTTTCTGAGAACTAGAAAGAGGTCGGGTTTGAGACACTGTTCTCAAATTACATTTGTGCCTCAGGCTCAAATTTCTTTTATCAAATCAGTGCCTTGGATGCAGCTGTTTTCTTCCTCAAAGTCATCCCTACTACCCATTACACTACCTTGTTCACACGGCCTACTTACAGTGATTAACTGAACTATGCTTTTTTCTGTTCCTAAGTTCATGTGAGACATTCACCTGTAAATTAATTGCATGGATTTGGTTGGCCTAAAACACATAGAATAAAATGTGATTGACTGCTTTATAGATTACATTAAATCTGACTGAAGTGTTAACCAGTGAAGAAAGTGAATATTTGTTTAGAACTAGTATATTTGCATGGAATAGTTTTTATTTAAATCCTGTATTTCAGGTCAACATTAACGTGCAAGACAGCTTAAATACACACAGCCATACCACAGTCAAATAAGCATACTGACTCATTTAAAAAGGTTGATTTTGTGGCACCAAATGACAGATTTTGAAAGCTTGCATTTTATTTTATTATTATTTTATTTTTGAGTCTGCCTAATAATTATGGCACTTCTGTAAACTGAATACTGGATTTTTCCCCCTTCTGGCCAGCACAACTTACATAGCATGTCTGAATAATAAAGAATTTGACGATATTCAAATGCTCATTTAACCTGATGGATAATAATCTATCATTATACTTTTCTACTCCACAGAACATTTTAAAATCAGCAAGAATTTCAGGTTAAAGAGCACATAGTTGGATGTGCCCCTATTTTTTCCCCACTTAGCAGTGGTCAATTCTTTTGGATGCTGAATCCCAGTAAATCAGTGTTGTTCATCCTTGGCAACTTAAAGATGCATGGCTTTAAGCTTCCAGAATTTCCCAGCCAGCAGGGGAATCTAGATCTGATCTAATTTAATGGGGCTTAATTGCATTTACATGTCATAAGATTTCATTTCTAAAAAGCTTCAGTAATAAAAAGTAACCCTGAACTACGGCAGAAGACTGAAGTTTGGACTTATATATCCAGGACCCTTTCTTTCTAATAAATATGCATACAGGTAGTCCTTGATTTACGACCACAATGGAACCCAACTTTTCTGCTGCTAAGCAAGAGAGATGTTAAGTGAATTTTGCCCCATTTTACAACCTTTCTTGCCACAATTGTTAAGTGAATCACTGCAGTTGTTATAACACAGTTTAGATTCCATATTGACCTTGCCTGTCAGAAGATTGCAAAAGGTGATCATGTGACCCCGGAACATTTCAACCGTCATAAATATGAGTCAGTTGCCAAGAATCCAAAGTTTCATCACATTACTATGGAAATACTGCAATGTGAAAAGCAGCCGTAAGTGTGAAAAACAGCCATAACTCACTTTTTTCAATGCCATTGTAACTTTGAACAGTCACTAAAGGAACTACTAACTGTAAAACTAAGTTAAAATGCCCCTTTTCCATTGCCCTTTTAAGTGGCTTTGAGTAGTCTTTCATTGCCCTTTTAAGAGGAGGCTCGGCCAAACAGAGGCACTTGAGCTTTTTCTTCTTTTTTTGCTCTTGGGACTTTTTCTCTGATCCAGAATCAAAGGTGGTTGGAGATTCAGATCTCGGGTGAGTAAATCTAGGTTTAGTCCAGATGAAAAAGTGAGGTATGGAGAGAAACCCTTTGAATCCGCTTCAGAGCACAGACTTCTTAATAGTTCAGTGAACTTTTATATTTCACAGTGCATTGATTGCTAATGGATTATGCACTTAGATAAAATTTACTTTGCGCTAATGTGAACTGGCTAATGACACTCTCCATTCACCCCAAAATCCCATAACTGTCTAATAGGTATGAACAGTATGAATTACATTGCCCACTGTGCCCAATGACTTGCTGTATAATGACGAGAAAAATCTCCATGTTTTCTCCTACCATGAAGTTCTCAAAAGAAGAGAAACTACTAGACTTAAATTGAAACAAGGCAAATAATTGTCTTGTGAAGACTTCCATCTTTCAGGAAGTTGCGGCCCTGTAAGAAGGAGAAAGCCTGCATAAAACTAACATTTGTAGGAATGTGTAGGGAATTACCTATTGCACTTTTAAAAAAGAGGAAACTTTGTAATGTTTGAGATAGGATGCGTCTCATGTATTGAAATACTAAATTCAGAAAATTGTGTATAGGAATTATATGCCCAAACTATGTACTGTATAAAGTTTCTGAATAGCAGCTGTCCTTCCCAGGATTCAGTAGCATACCCATCTCATACCAGCACTATCCTCCAACTCTCCAGAACTTAAGTGGAAAGTTTTCACCAGAAAATAAAGACCATTTGTTTTTCTGGGATTTTCTAAACTCGAGGGCACTTTTTTTTCTTGCTTGCTTTCAGTATTAAAGAGTTGTGATCTGTAAAATATTTGTAACTGTGTTATCTTAAGTCTGTATAGAAAAGTGTTTGATGATGTTGTTTTTCATGTTGATTCAGAATATAGAGACAATCACATCCACAAACATGGATGTTTTTGTTTTTAATTAAGATTTTGAAAAACAATAATAAAAGAGAGTACAAGATAGAAAAATGAAAAAAAATAAAAAGCAAATAAAATCCCCCTTTAAGAAAGAACCCTGTTTCCTTGAAAATAAGACCTCCCCAGATAATAAGCCCAATCGGGCTTTTGAGCGCATTTGCTAAAATAAGCCCTCCCCGAAAATATTGCAACACAGCAGCAGCCATGAGGTGACCACGCTCGCCGCCTCCTGCACCTCAAAAATAATAAGACCGCCTCGAAAATAAGACCAAGTGCTTATTTCGGGGGTCAAAAGAAAATAAGACCCTGTCTTATTTTTGGGGAAACACAGTAACTTCCCAGGCTCATCACAAGGATGAACAATTTCACAATCTATCTCGAGATTCTCAGTCATCCAGGTTGTGGTTATCCCAAAGGTTCTTTTTTCAACAGGCAACGAGACTTTCTTGTTTGTCTTTGAAGACATTTTGCTTTTCATTCAAGAAGCTTCTTCAGCTCCAACTGGATGGTGGGGAATGGAAGGATTTATATTACTTGCAGACAGCTGGTCATTTGCATTCTGTTAGAGAGTCATTGAGACCACTTGGAGGTGTCCTCAGTCACCTGAGTAGTACAAATGGTAGTGGAGTCTTCTTGGAACTGCTGAAGGGACTTGTTGTAGACTGGAGATAGATGATGTCGTATCCCTCCCCCTCTGTTGAGAGAGGGATGTTCAATTTTGACACAGATGGACAAAGAGAAACAAGAAAGTCTAGTTGCCTTTTTAAAAAAAGCACCTTTCGGACAATTTCCTAATCTCTTCACCCCTCTTAGTTAACAAATATAAAACTTTTCATCCCATAACCCATCTCTTAGTAATTAACAAATCAAATAAATAACATATTCTCTTTATCCATTTGTCAGCAAAAAGTCCAAACAGAGCTCTAAAATATTAACATTAAATATAAAAACTAGACTTTCCGCATCTCAATTTTTAGATATAGGCAAAAACCTATTTAAAAGGCATAAAAAGGTCCCGATTTTCTACTATAAACAAACCAAAGCAGATTTAACATTTTGATGTCCTTTTCTCCTTTAAAAAAAAAGTACATAGTCCATTTGAACTGCTAACCATTCTAGAAATAACTGCTCCAAACGGGAATCTATTCTATTTTTTAAAAAAAAGTATGGATGTTTTTGGTAAGTTTGATATTGTGTGGGGTGTTTTCTGAAGACACTAATCAGCCTTTTACCTGAACTCTACCACAAAATATTAGGGAAATTGCAATCATATGCATATTTATGATAGTATCCACCATTGGCTTTTAATATAAAATGCATCAGATGTTTAGAGGTTTATGTTGAGTGATATAAATTTTGTCGTTAAAACCTTTTCTTGGTCAACAAAGGAATGTTGAAAATAAATTGCGTAAAGAAACTCAGAACTCCATTGTTGATCAGTAGGATAGAAAATAGAACAGAATGGGACAATATATGGTGGAAGCTGGTGGAAGATATCTCAGTTTTAAAGCTAGACCAGATTAGGTAGGGCTGCAGAGGGGAAAAAATCAGCAAAATTTATCATCTCACTTGATAATCAATGAGAAAACCCACCAGGCATTATATGTGTTCAATCAGACTCTGAAACTGACCAATCTATCTGAATTGAAAACTGAAGTTCAATTCTCAAAAATGAACTAAAAACAACTGTGGATACTTAAGAAATCATTTTGCATGGTAAATGATGTAAACATTATTTGCTGAAACTGCTTGCTCCTTATCATATCAAAAACTCAGATTGTTATCCAGTATTGTCATGAAGTTCTCAGTATGATAGAACTTACTGCATAATAAGACTTACTGTCTTATTTATTAAAAAGAAAACACCATTAGAAATTGCACGCATGCTGTTATCCAATATGTTCCCCACATCCTGTACCTTTGATTCTTCTTACCCGTATGTAGGAGTTTTCATTTCTGCTTGATGGAATGATCAGCTTATGGAAGTCTGATAATGACAATGTCAGCTAAATTTATTTCCATACCGAGTTATCCAGGTTAAAATGCTTTTAAAAACTGAGGCAGTTTAGGATGGGCTTCCATTGCAAAAACAATCTCCGGGACAATTTGGCAGAAAATTAACATAGACTGTATTTTTAGCATGAACTTTTGCTTGTCTAGTTCTTAGTGAGCCATTTTAGCACTTCTAGCTATTTCTCCCTTCTACGTTCTGTGCTTTGCCAATCTGTTCTCTACCTTCTGTATCTGTGAACTTGTTTCCTTTCAACAAACCACGTTCTAAAGACTGTGAAGAAACACACTCTCCTGCACTATTTTCTGACAAATGCTCCAAGCCATGCTTTATTGTTTGTATTTTTATAGATGGGTGGTGCATAACTAATAACTCAATCTGCCCTCCTCATACACACATTCCTCTTAATTTCACCTATTACCCTAAACTTAGCTTTTCATAAGCCAAGGAACACATTTGCTGGAAACATCCCTCCCCAAAGTAGAATGCAAGGAGAACAAGGCGAATAAATATGTGGCAAAATTTACATTGAATTTGATTTATATTTAAATTGATATTGTTGTTTCCATTCCCCAAATTTATTTATTTTCCTTCCAGGTATGTAAAAAATAGAATTGGTTGAGCAGTTTTGGAATGGCCCTGGTGCCATACCCAAAGCCTTCAGAAAATACACAGGGCTTTTAGTTGTACACGTCTATCGTAAAACCAAAACCATATCCTTGTTAGATTTTGTTAGATTTTTAAACTGCTTACTGGCAATTGCCCTCTAGGTGGTGTTAAATATTGTCCTTTTTTTTTTACAAGGAATCTGATTTTCAACTGTTCCAGATATTTGCTGGCGGGCTGATGATCATTCAAAGAGTGGTATTGCATTCACGCCCTGGTATGTTTCTACTTGTTGGAGAACATATTTGAGTTTTGTGTCTTTGTAGAACATTGTAAATGGGAAGATAAAATAAATCCAAGAGGGCAATTTCTGATGTACACATCCAAAGTTTGTTATGCAAGTCTTCAACAAGACATTCTTAGCAGACATTTTCTAATTACAGATGTGTTTATGTAAGAGCAAAAATGTATAAACAAATAACCTAAATAACCCAAAACTGCTGCTTTTGAAGTATATAATGTGGAGAGTTCTGTAAACAATTTTGTATGTTTTGTGTATTCATGATTTGTAACAATAGCTATAAGCAATATTTACTGTGAATAGTGTATTGTTAACTTTGAAGGTTATTGTATTTGTGCATTTCCTTCTGGCCCCTTGTTCATTTATATTTCATGAGATTTATAAAGCAGCTGGCCATTCTTGCACTAAAACTGGTGATGTATCTTTCCAGTTTTCTTTACTTTAAAATTGCTGTGTGTCACAAACTACTTGGTTAGGAATGAGGATTTTTAGATGCATGCATCATGTTGAAAAGAAAGGCTAGGAAGGAGAAATACAAATAGAATTTTGTAAGTATCAAAGTCGTGGCTGACCCAAGATATATAGCTTCAGTGAAGAAACACATGCTTTTGTAAGGAACGTGAGTTCTCTAAAGTCAGATGTGATTGTTCAGAAATGCTAATTTAACTCCCATAATCTCAAGAAGAAGAAGAAACCAAACTGTTAAACCTGTGATCTGACTCGTTCTAGGCATCAATGGAGTGCCAGTTGCAGAAAACTTCTGTATGGAAGAAGCCACCCTCTCAGACAAAATTGATGAAGGTCAAGTTAAAGTCCGTACACTTTATTTATCTGTGGATCCCTACATGGTACGTGGGTTTAATAAAAATATCCGAATATATGAAGAATATTTGGCCAATTGATTCTTCATGTGATCTACCAGTCATGAATCACTGTAAATAGTGATGTATGACTTTAGTAGAGGGGAATATTTTGCTTTGTATAAATGCCCATGACCACAATTATAATACACATACTATGCAAGATATTTGGCAAGTACCTGAGCTTTTCGTTTCCTCCTTTCAAGCAGATTGCTAATCTCAATATGGAAAGCATTGTAGCTTCTACAATTGAAGCTGATGTAACTGGGAGAAAGAATCATAAGATGATCTCTGAATATATGTAACCCTATGCCATACATTAATTTTGTCCTGAAAAAGTGTACAAACATGAGCCGCGGTGGCGGAGTGGTTAGAATATAGCACTGCAGGCTATTTCTGCTGGCTACTAGCTGCCTACAATTTGGCAGTTTAAATCTCACCAGTCTCAAGGTTGACTCAGTCTTCCATCTTTCCAAGGTTGGTAAAATGAGAACCCAGATTGTTGGGAGCAATAGGCTGACTCTTTAAACCGCTTATAGAGGACTGTAAAGCACTGTAAAGCAGTATATAAGTCTAAGGGTTATTGTTTTTGCTATATGGTAATTTTAAAAATCAGCACTGGAACTTCAATTACTGTGAAGAAAACTTAGAGTTCTTTGTATAATAACTTCACTAATTACATTCATTTTCCAGAGGATTACATCAGAAGGGCGTGTTGCATAATTTGAATTATGAATTTTTTTCAAAGATGTACCATATAAACCAGATTAAGGAAAAAAGATACTTTGGAGCATCAACCAACTTCTTAGTCTATCAGTAATAAAAATATGACCTTTATTCTTCCTTCTTAGGCTTTTAAAGGGTTTATTGTATTGTATGTGTTGGCCGGCTATGTATCTTTTGGGAAAGAGAAAACAAAAGGATTGAGTTTTAAAAGATTCTCTTGCTACAAATAATTGTCTTTTAGCGGTGTCGTATGAATGAAGATGCTGGGTCTGACTACCTCCAGGCTTGGAAATTGTCTGAAGTTATTGATGGAGGTGGAATTGGTTGTGTGGAAGAAAGCAAAGACGTGCGTTTCACTCCAGGAGACTTTGTGACGTCTTTTAACTGGCCCTGGCAGACCAAAGCCATTTTAGAAGGAAAGCAACTGAACAAGGTAACATTTTGCCACTTCTTTCCATTTCCTTTGAAGAAAAAAATATATAGACAAATGTGCCCTGATCTCTAGCAATATGAGGTTAAAGACTATGGATATCCATGGGGAGGGAGTTGAATGGAAACATGTAATGACTGTCAGAGAAGCAAGTAAATAATGACTGGTCCATCTACCAAGGTAGCTTGGTAAGGGACTCATAGTCCCTTGATTTCTAGCCTGATGTTTTTCATTTTCATTTTTTCATTTTACTTTATTTGTATGCCGCCCTTTTCCCTGAAGGGACTCAGGGCGGCTCACAACTCAAGGGAGGGGAAAGACAAACAAAATTACAAAACATAAAAGCCATACACAATTAAAAAGCACAACAATCATACCATTCGAGGTGGGGCTATAAGTCGTTAGCCCCAGGCCTGTCAGAACAGACAGGTTTTAAGGGCTATGCGGAAGGCCTGGAGGGTGGTGAGGGTACGGATCTCCACGGGGAGTTCGTTCCAGAGGGTCGGAGCAGTCACAGAGAAGGTTCTCCTCCGGGTAGTCGCCAGTCGACACTGGCTGGCTGATGCCTTAATCACTGCACTAAACTGACTTCAGATAGGACCCCAAAACACCCTCCCAAAAAAAGACAAAAAATATCAACTAACTTTGAACATTTCCAAAAGAATCCAGCCAAAAAACCCAGAATGAGTCTTGACTAGAATAATAATGCTTAATTAATCCCATCTTTGAAACCCTTTTTTTCTTCAGATCGATCCACACCTTGTAGATGGACACATTTCCTATTTCCTGGGTGCAGCTGGCTTGACTGGGCTGACATCTTTGCTGGGAATCAGAGAGAAAGGACACGTATCTCCAGGCTCTAATCAAACCATGGTGGTCAGTGGAGCTGCTGGTGCTTGTGGCTCTGTGGCTGGGCCGGTAAGACACTATTAACAAAGTCTTAAGGGTTGTTGTTAGAAATTAGATTATTCTGCCTACGAATCACAAAATTCTTATTATTTGGCCCTACGGAGGCCACTATACTTTTTTCCTATACCTCAGAAATAGGCAGACTTTATCAGGGGATATATATATATAT